GCACACACACACACACACACACACATTTAGCGTCCCTACTTCTTAGTATTTTAGCTTATCTTGTATTCGTTTAACTTAACTGTTAATCTTGGTTTGACATATACTGAAATGCATTCAAAACAAGAGCAGTCAGAGAGATTACATACCCTCGCCACGTCGCCCCTTTTCGAGTCTGCATGCGTTAAAATTAGATACCGTCAACTTTCACCTTCAAAAACTCACAAAGTTTATCTCAGATCCTGGATGATCAATGATCCGGATCATTTTTTTATAGTGTGATGAGGAGTCTCAACCTTATTGTGCTCATCAAATTTGGTACAAATCCTATCACACTTTACAGAGTTATTAACTCAGAACCACGAAAATGCTCTATATCCCCATTATTAAAAAAAATGTTTCCAAGTGATCCAAAATCCGGATTTGGATGCGAACCAAATTGACTGTCCCATGCTGACGTCCCATTCTATTTGACTGTCCCATGCTGACGTCCCATTCTATTTGTAAAATTTTCGTGTACATCGGTCAATTAATTTTTGGGATACGCATGCGGAAACACAGACACACACACACACACACAAACACAGACCCGATTGCAATACCCTCGCCCCCGGAGAAGGGGCACGTAAAAGAAAAGGACACATCACAGTTAATTTTTCTGGAACTAAATTTATATTTTTGGCTCATTCCGAGTTCTCAGACAGAACAATTTCCCGCTAAAAATAACTAGTCCAATTCAAAATCATTAATATTTCTGAAAGGAGATTGTGAAATGAAGAATAATATCTTATAAAATTATTACATGTTTTGTTTCTGTTGCAGTTCACGTTATAAATTACTCTAAGTAAACTTTACAACTTAACAATAAGTATGTTAAAAAAAACTATTAGATCGAGAGAAACAAACAGAACACTATTAACAGTGCTTAATTTCTGCCGGATCACTATTTTTTAAATTCTAAGTATGGAAGCACTATAATGTTAAGTTTGTTTGTTTTAAAGCAAAGTGACGTTGGGCTACCTGCTGTGTCCACGGCGGGGAATCGAAGAACCCCGGATTTTAGCGTTGTAAGTCCGTACATTTACCGCTGTCGCACCGGGGGACATAATGATGAGTTTGGTTTATAGCAAAGCCACATTGAGTTCTCTGCTGTGTCCACGGTGGGGAATCGAAGAACCCCGGATTTTATTGTTGTAAATTCGCAAAGTTATCGCTGTCCAGCTGGGGGGACATAATTTTAAGACCGCTACGGTTACGTTGCGAATTGATAAATGACTGACACAGTCAACTGCTTTATTCCCCTTTAGCGCCGCATTTGAAATATTTTAGTCTTAATAAATTAATTTTGTATTTTCCAAAACTCAAACTTCCTTCCACACTGAATAACAGGGAACTGACACCTTTATTTTCCTTCCAGAAATTAGGCGTTGACTGTTACACTTATACTTGCTCAAAATAACCGTCAGATTTTCTGTGAAAAATGTATAATACTTCTAAGAGGCTCCCCAGTGGTACAGCGGTATGTCTGCAAACTTACAACGCTAGAATTCGTGTTTCGATACCCGTGGTGGGCAGAGCACAGATAGCCCATTGTGTAGCTTTGTGCTTAATTACAAACAAACTTCTAAGAGTAATAATAACAACTTTGTGATTTGTGTAATTACCCTCAACATAGCCTGTAAAGATTATCAAAACATAGCCTTTAAAGATTATCAAAACATAACCTGTAAAGATTATCAAAACATAACCTGTAAAGATG